AGAATTATTGAAATTAATTAGTTGTAAAAGCCCAAATGATTAATCAAATATTAATTACTAATCAAATTAACTGCTAATCATATACTCAATTTAGGGAAATATTTACAATATTATGCATATGTGATGTATAAATTTGTAGATGCTTTCCACTCTCCATCTACTCTACTTGCAAATTATTTTAATATGAATTTGAGCTCATTTATTTCTATATACCTGGCTTATATGGCTCATAATTTGTTTCAGAGATTGCCCATTTTCCTGTTCTTTTTCATTAACCTGGACATCCAGATAAATATATTCCTCTTTTTGCCCATGGGATGTGAACCAATTTCTCTAATTGTCTTTCAAGTTTTTTATTTTGAATAATATCAGTGCAATATTCCATACTTCTGAGGGGCTCAGCTTGTCCCAAATCCTTGTATGATGAGAAATATCGCCTGATATTAGCCCTTTTATATCCAAATCTGTACACCTAAATCTGAGACACCCAAATCTGTGTTTTTATGACTTATATGTAATTATTTCAATAGATAGATAATAGATATGTAATACACAAATTCACTTTTCTTCAGGACAGGGTATCCACTATTTCACAAAAACAAGAGTCTCTGCCATAGTGATTTGTCATTTAGGGATAAATAGCATCATGAAAAATACCAACTGCTATAAATGAAACACATGTACAGTATAGGCAAAGTACAGAACTTTAGATGCAGATATCATATGACAATTCCTTTATATATGTGGGATCTGTCCATAATAATTTAATATAAAAATAAAAATGTCATTGTAAATTAACAAATTAGATCTTATTTATTCTAAAACATTTAGATTCTAGTCATCTTGGAAACTAACTGACAGGACATTTCCAGAATAAAATATTTTAGGCTATATATGAAGTGAGTGAGTAATTGATATAATAAAGCTCCATGAAGACCTTTAGGGTTTTCATTAAATGTCAGGCATTGATAAATCTTCAAGTGCTGGACCTCTTGCCTGCAAGTGGCTAATGTCCTAAATAGGTTTAAATTCCTTTGAAACATAGCTGCTGAAGGGGAATTCTTCAGAAACTGTTCCCCACCTTGGCAGTTTTATGGAATGATACTTTAAAATAAAATATGAAAGGTTTTCATGACAATGATGCCCTAGTATGTAGTCACTGAAATAATCATGTTGGCTAGCCTGAGGGGAAAAAGGCATCCTTGAAAGAAATACCAACTATTTCCTCTAAAGCAGAGATGATAACTCATCTCTTATCTGAAAGACAATGTCACCCAGCAGATCAAAACATGGGCTCTGAAACCTGCCTCCCTAGCTTGAAATCCAAGGTTTGCCACTTATTTGCTGTGAAGTCCAGGAAAAATACTAAATACATTCTCTTTAGTTTTCTCAACTGTAATATAAATGAAATACAATAGAAGATTACCTCACAGGATTAGTGGAAGCTTTTAGTAACTTAAAATAGCCAAATCAATTACGGTATCTTATGTCAAGAAACTATCAGAACTATATAATTCAATATTCTATTTTCTATCATGCTTCTCTCTCCATTTCTTGGGAAAAGTTAAGTACTCCTTCGTCATCTCCATTCCAGAAAATAATTAATCTCCATTGCACTGACAACTTTCTTCAAGAAATTGTTTAAAGTGTTTTAATGAACTTTGCCACCTTTATTTTTCTCTGTGTAACCTTTAGAAAATATATGCTCCTAACCTCTTTATATGTAGGACCTTGTTGGAGACCCCTAAGGCATAAAAAGCTGAGACAAGGAAAATATCAGGGTCATGGCTGGAAGACTGGTCATGGCTGAAAGACTGGTCAGCACGGGTTGGAAGACTGGCCTGTGTATAGATCAGGATGTTGTTTCTCGTGCCAGTGAAACAGTGTGAGAAAAGAACAATTTGATAATGCAGAACCTTGATGGTGAATGTGTGCCAGAAATATGCTGAATACTTAGAAATAAGAAAATGAACCACTGTTCTGTGGTTCTCCCCATCCTGTAGCTTGCATTGTAACTTTGTTGTTTCTGCTAATAAAAGCTGTGGTGTGCTGAGAAGAGCAGGAGAGCAGAGCAGATCAAGAATCTCTCTCCCCAGCTGCCCTCCCAAGTTTCTCAAGACTCAATGCCCTTGTCCTTTTGCCTCTGGTATCTGTGACAGGACCTGATCCACTGTAAGGTAATCCCTGTTACATTCAACATGTCCCAAAATACACTCCATTTTGTTGATGCTGTTCAGATCAAACCTTGTAATTAGGAGAAAATAATGATGACGATTATGGACTATAAATCGCAGATGCTGTGATAAAAATTAATGTGATCCATAAAAAAAAAAGTTTGTGAATTCAGCCTGTGTAAGGAGGAAGGAGGGAAATGGAGCCTTCAATGACAACACAAGGAAATCATCAGCTGCAATGAACATGAATGCCTGTTCTTTTAATTCCTATCACAGGGCTTCTTAACTTTGACATTATTGACAGTTTGAGCTCTACAATGCTTTGTTGTGAGACACCATCTGTTGCATTTTAGAATGTATATTAGCAATTATGAACCCTACACAGAGATGCCAGTATCACCTCACTCCCCAAATTGTGACAAGTGAAAATACTTCCAGATGTTGATAAATGACCCAAGACATTTGTGTCAAATTGTGTCAAGTCAGAAACCATTGCCATAATGGAAGACAGAGAGCTTTCCCTATAACGACTACCCTAGAGCAACTTTTGGTCTTCTAATTATCTAAAATTGTAAGACTCCTGGTCTATTTTCCTTGAGCTTCCTCAGTGAGATACTATGTACTTCTGTGAGTACAATGTAACTTCTTGACTTTTTAAAGTACTCACAGTATGTATCAACAACAACACAAAAAACTTTTATTTAATCAAGTGAAACAGATTATTAAGGTGAAGGTATGACTAATATCCAAAATTACCATTTCTTCTTCAAGTTCTGGAAAGTTCAGATTCCTTTTACACAATTTATAGGGACTTAAAATTAAATATCATGGCAGAATAAGCTCAGTTTCCCAGAAGAAATTTATTATGAAAGGAGAAAAGTTCAAAAATAGAGACTGAGAAATGGCCAGATAAGAGTGCTTGTAAGAAATAAATAAGTTCAGAAATATTTCAGTACAAAATTACTCCAGTATGGAAATTACTCTAGTCCTTTTTCTTTCACAGGAGAAGATAGGCAAGATGTAACAACCCAAGGGTATATTCACCTTTCCTTTCCATTAATTTCCCTTAACTGTTCTTAGCATCTTTCAGTTACATATGAAAACAATAAGACCTTAGTGTTAACTATGATTGTCTAACACTAAGCAGCATCATGCCCCCATTTATATGAAAAATCTTACCTAATCTTAGCAAACTGTAAAGAGTAGCTGGGCAAGTATTTGTTATTCACTACATACTTCAAGCAAATTAATTCCTAGTTCACTGGCTAATCAGATCAGTGAATTAGCGTGTGCATCCAATGAAACACTTAAATTGCTATCCAAAGTACATTTTTAATTGAAACAGAGAAAAAACTACCCAGATTTATATTGATATCAATTTCTAAATATATTCACCAAAATTATTATAATGAAATTTTATTGTTATATAAATTATTTGATATGAGCTACTTGGACTAATATGCTTCATGGAAGAGAATACTGCTGTCTAGTTAAACTGTAGTAGGAAAATAAAAACAGGGACGTAAATGCGTATTTGCAGAGGAGACTAAAAAGATGGAGAATCAAAGAGGAAAGAAAAACCCAGCACTGCACCATCTGTTATTCTGGGCAAGAAAATATCAGTAACCTTGTTACCCCCATTCAGTTTCCTTAAGTGATTTCAGAAGGTAGGGTAGCAACAGTTACCTTATTGTTATGCAGAAACAGTTACTTCTGCTTTGAACTGTTCGCCTGGAGAAAGACTCTCAAGTAACTAGGAGGTAAATTGCAGTTCTCTCTTGAATCTGGTCAATTTCAGGTGATTGTGTGTTGATTAATGTGACAGCCAAAGACCCCAACCCCAGGCGACTTCGGTGGGAAGCAAGGATTTAGGAAGGCATAAAGGCAGAAGATGGCTGGGCAGAGCCAGCCGGCTTCCACCAGCACCACTGCCTTCCCCTGTACAGTTGTTCAAGCTGCCAGAGGCTTTCTGGTTGCCATAGTAACTGTTGGGCTGTGTTGCAAACTCAGAGCAGAGCCTCTGAAGTTAGGGACCAAACACTGGAGTGAAAAAAAAAAAAAGAAAAGAAAAGAAAAGAAAATGTAAAGGCAACTAGGGAGGGAAAAAACGTAAAGGATCACCTTTGTAATAGGTTAACAGCTCCTCTGGCTAAGAGAACCTTTTTAAAATCGGGTTTTTGTTTATGTTGTTGTGGAATGAGATAGTTCTTTCCCTGGTATTATTCATCAGTGTCGTCTTCTGGTGCCCGGAAAGAGACTGCAAATTCTCTCACTCATAAAGGCAGCAGAAGTGGGTTAGGGAACGTAATTACCAGGAATGCACCGAACCAGCTCATTCATTCATTCGATTATATATTCCGTGTCTCTTGAGAACTCGTTCGTGCCGGGCATTGAGAAATGACACACCGTCCCACACTCAAAATGAACGATAATTAACAAAAATTAGGAGAACCTTCACGTGTCTGGGCGAATCAATTACACATGCCAGCTTCCCGCGGTCTCTCTTAGAAGACAGATTCAGTATCCAAGGCGGGAGAGGAAAGAAGTAGCGGCTCCCTAGAGTTACCCCTGGGAGGGATGCTCAGAGAGGAGGGAGTCCGCCTGTCTTTCCTAGGGAAGGACTATGTCAAGGCCACTCAACCGTTTCCCCTCGCTGGGAGAAGAGGTTTGTTTTTCTTTCAGAAAGACGGAGCCCTTTTCCCTACTGGGCTAGATTGCTAGTAGGGGACAGCCCCGCCTCGTTGGCTCTTTGATTGGCCCAGTCCCTTTTTAGCTAATTTATGCCGGCACCCTCTAGCTGTGATTGGCTCCCCTGCTCAATTCTGCTGGGAGTCGCATCCTACCTGGTTGGGAGGTGCTTTGCTTTGCTACACTCCTTTTTCTCTCGTACTCACCGGGCTGCAGCTTAGGTGGGAGACAGACTTGCTTAGAGAACTGAGCAGAAAAACAATCCCGATGGGCTTTTGGAAAGCTTTTCTCTCCTCCCATTTTCTTCTGTGGAGTCAAAGTAGAGGGGTGAGGCTGATGTTCTTGCTACTGGCCCTGCATTTGGGCAACTGGTGAGTAAATTCAAAGACTTAAAACTATTCTTTGGCATCTACCCCCTTCCCAATAATTTCCCTTTCTTTTTAAAAACCTAAATTAAGTAATTTGCATTTTCTGGGGCACATGTGCAATATTTATCATCATTTTATTTTCTAATTAGATGTACTCATTTTCAGATAGAATGAAATCAGTCTTATCTGTGAAGCAGAAAGGAGAGTTCAATTGTTTTTGACTTGAAACACATTAGTAACTAACTAGTAAAGATTCAGTTACTGGGTTTGGGAAAGGGTAGAATTGATTTTAACCATCACTAAATCTGGTGAATGAATTGCCACTGATGAATTTCCAAATGATTCTGCATTTTAAAGACAAAGTTAATTTAGAAACTTGTTACACAGCCTGATATGTATAATGTTGTTTTGTATACTAATATTGCCTACTCCCACATCTTACCTTTTTGCTTTTCTGAAAAAAAGCAAACTTTTCAATAGGAATGATTATGAATATGGCTAAAACATCTGTGAAAATATGTTATATTTAAAGACAGAAATAATTGTATATATTTTATTGAGTCTAGTCTGAATGATTTTTCTTTTAATTGGCTGTATACAAGTAAATAAAAATTGTATGGTGATATGAATATATCCTAACTCTCTCTGTGTGTGTGTGTGTGTGTGTGTGTGTGTGAGAGAGAGAGAGAGAGAGAGAGAGAGAGCAATTTCTACCCCCAAGCCTACAATTTAGCAGGAACAAGACTTGGGCTGTAATATCTTTTAATTAAACTTCAAAATTATCCTGGTAGAAAAATAAAATGCTCAGGTATTGCATCTGGATATAGGAGTAGTGGGTGTGAATGGAGTTAAAATATATTGATGTGACATACACACTGATTAGGTCTTGGATGTACTACTTTATATCGTATAACTGTGCTTTATATAATTGTGCATTTAAGATTATATTATTGTGTTTTGTTATACTGCTTAACACTCAAGAGTGAAATGCAATCATATGAATAGAAACATGCCTTTATAACTATTTGCATTATTGCTAAAATGAATTATGAGGGTGATTATTTTAGTATATAGTTACTATGAATATTTTGCTTTTAATTCTGGTGGAACAAATGAAAGTATGCTAAGTAATATTAGACTTATAGCAGAAAATGTTTGACATTTGATGCATTTTAAAGAATACTTTTAATTTATTTACCATTTTGCCTTAGAAACTTAAATTTTCTGCTTATGCAGAAGCTTGATTTATTATTTCATATGTAAATAAAATATGTATATATCATATAGAGTCATAATGACTTATTTCTTTGAATGTATTATAAAAGCATAGAAAATATGTTGGTACAACATATATCAGTGTTCTCTTTCATCTTCATAATATTACAAATGAATCTGTGTTTTCATAAGTGAAAACTGTTTGACCCAGTGTTTTTGTGAAATAACAACCTGTATGCTTTCCTATCATCATAAGTACAAGTTTCCCATTTAAACAACAAATGGGCAAGCTGTTTAATGTAAGGCCTATCATTTATGTAAAGAAATATTTTGTTTTGCATAATCTTTTGTTTGAAGACATATCTTATGATCATTGTAACTGGATCCAGAACTGTCTTCAAGCTACTCAGAGTTAAAGACCTGAGTGGTATATAGTGGACAAAGATAGACTTTGGTAGACTCAAGACATGCTTCTATGACTTGAACTGAAACAAAATAACTCAATGATTGCTTCACTGACTTTTCTTGGTAGTTTTCAAGAAGGAAATTCTAATTGGGAATGCCATATACTTTTTCAAAAAACATGTGTGAGTGAATAAGAGAATGTGAAAATAATTATGCAGTTAAAAATAGATCATTTCATCATAGTACTATAGAAAACCTGAATTATTCCAGCTAGTAAATCTTTTTAAAAAGCTATATGTTGCTGTTATTATTAGCTCTTAGAGCTTCAATTATGAGAGTTTGTGTTCACTTTTTAAAGTAACTACAGATGTGATGAACTTTTCATCCTTTTTGTCATAGTTGGAATTAATTGATGTCAGCATGATAAACACTTCACATTCTTAATGCCTTATGCATGCCTCTTGAGGGACTATTCCCACACTAGCCACGGATGGTTCTGTTTATAAGAATTTTGATATGTGTTGTAGCTGGTTTCTAAAATAAATCTTAAAAGTCATCTCTTTGAGGGTATATCAATTTGGAAATTATTATTTCTATATCTACTCAGAAACAATGCCTTGTTTCATCATTAGTTTCCACTAAGCATAAAGGAGAGATACTACATTGATTTTTATATTGCTGAAATATGAAAACCTATTCTATTCTTGTCACTAAAAGCTATAGCCATTGTTCCTGTTTTTCATTCTCCAAAAGGTCCTATGGTATCTTTCCAAGTTTGTTGAAATTTCTTGAGCTTGATTTAACTTATTATACTGTTGAAAAAAATATGACTATAATCAAATTTTTAAAGTTTTAAAAGTGCCTTGAAATTTTAGCTGTGCTAAAACAATTTATAATAAACTTTTACTAAGAACTAGTAGCTTAGAAAACTCAAGAAACATGTTATTTTTAATAACAATTTCAGGACTCAATATTCATCTAGGCACTTGCCCAAATGAAAAATTTAAATATACTTACTTCAAAAAATATACTGCTTTCTAGTAATTTCAATAATATATTTTATGGAGGTGATAGTGAATGGATGATTTTTCTTTTGATATCTAGACTTTCTAATTGACATTTTAATAAAATGCTAAGAAAACCATGGAAACTTAAGGACAAAATAAGTAACTATTGATGTTCCCTGATAATTAAATATTCAAAGTTGAATTGAGAGGCAAAATTATTTTGAAACTCAACACAAATGCAATAATGAATAAATCCTTTTAAAATCAAGTCTATTAGGATTACCTTCCACCATTTTATTCTAATACCCCTCTTCCATTTTGTTTTAGTATATAATATTAGATTTTGACTAAACAGCATAAGGAAATGTTTCATATTTCATTTAAACATTGGACTAATATGTTTTATCTACACAAGGGTAATTAAAATTTATCTAAGAGTACAATAATGAAGGTGGGGTTCCAAAGAGAAGATATAAGACAGGGTGGAAAATTCAAAAAAACTTCAAAATATATGATATATGATATATAACTGCCATGGAGAAGAAGAGAAGGCATATAATGTATAGACCTCAGCAGGGTAATTCATATATGGTTGTCTTCCAAATGAGAACCCTGAACTTTACCATCAGATATAAATTATAGTTTCAGCTCTACCATTTCTCATTGGAGTGATTTCAGGTAAATCTTTGAGGTAGAGTATCCTCATTTGTGAAAAGCAGAAATGACATCTGCCTTTCAAAATTGTTTCAAGACCAAGATAGAAAAATGGTACAAACACCATGACACTTAAAATTTTAACTGGAAAGACATAATAACACATATTCTGTGAGTCAAAGTGATCCTAGTGTTATTTACCCTAATTAACTTGATTTAAGTTCGGTAGAGTGAAATTTTTCAATGCTTAAGTGTTATCAAGTATCTTTTGAATTTGGGAGAGGTCATTCATTTTTGATTCAACAAATCTGAAAACCTAAATAAAGGGATCAGGAAAAAGACTAATTATAATAAAGTAAAAATCAAAATCAATAGGCAACTATAAACCAGAGACACACTACAAGGGGGGAGAAGGGAGTAGGATCAAAACAAGGGTGGTGGGAATTATATGGGGACTATAACCAAGAGGAAAATGCATACATTGTGCAAAAATGAAAAATGATGTAAAAAATATCTAAAAAAAAAATATACTTGACATGTGCTATCCATAGTACAATATGCTGGGTGTATACAGAGGTGAAGAGGATAGACATGATTATTATCCTTACAGAATTCATAACACAGCTAAAACTTAGTTATGTTACTAATCAAAGAACCACATCTTGTAGTCAAAATAAGGACATATACCTTCAGAACTTCAAAGATAAACAGTAGAGTAAAATTTTAAGGACAGAGGGTTCTGATGGAACAGATGATAATTAAAAAAAGAATTAGAGAACTATGAAATTTCTCATCAGTACTACTAATATATGGGGAAAATGTGTACCAAATTCTAAAGACAAACTTTAAACCAAGAAGGATATACTTAGCCAAATTACCAATCAAACATAATGGGAGAATAAAGCCTACTTATTATTATTATTATTCTCATTTTATAGATCGGGAAAACTGGAGTACAGTAATATTTACAAATTTGCTAAATATTAGTTTGTTAAATTACAAAATATAATTACATTATATTAAATTATAAAATAAATGAATATTCTACCCTAGACTCAAATTCATGTTTTGTACTCAGAGTCTACATTCTTAACCACCATATCTCTCAGATTGCAAATACAGTATATATCAAAGCAATTAATATGAGTATGAATGAAGGAGAGTGAAAAGGGAAGGGAGTAAGGACAGGACAGGAAAAGAAAAGCAAAGCACTGCCATTATAAGTTTGTCAATAAAAGAACAGTATGTGGAAAAATCTCACAGAATTCTTGAAACAATATGTTCCGTGTTAGATTATTCTAGGGAGAACTTTGCCATATTAGAGTACTTGATCTAGAATAAAATTAAAAGCAAAAATTTGGAATTTAGGCAAATTTTGTTGAAGAATCAAATTATTACTATTTGAAAAAAGAAGATATATAAAATCATGAATTTATTACAGATGCATGTAAAAGGTAAATTATAACCAAGTAGTGAAAGGTATGTGAAGGCACATTTTCTTCCCAATACAAAAGCTCTCTAACAAAATAATGATGTCTTATCACTAAGTTTATTCAAGCAGAAACCTGTTAGAGTTCTTAAAGTCTGTGGGAGACAGATGAAATTTATGTTTCTTTGCCTTTTTAAAATCTCAGAATCTAATTCAATCAGTATTAGAATAGTTTAAGCAACTGAACCCCCATATTTTAGGAAATAGTCTTAGCCATTAATTCTTTCAATAAA